AAAATACACTCATTCACACTATAAAATGTAACAGTATCATAATTATGGAGTAACGTGAAAATACACCAGTACCTCACCAACTTACAATATCATTACAAACCAGAGTAAAGGTAAGTGAATTCAGACACCGTCCACTCAAAACATGTAATAGTGAACAGAAAAATGAGGATTTCAAGTGAAACACTACAATGTTGTACTTCAAACTATACACAATATACAGAACAAATATAATGACACATTGTAAAGTTTGTAATACACACATATTCAGAAAACAAAAGACAAAATGCATATACTTTAAATGCATTGAACTACCACTGTCACTGAACTGACACCAACCTTTATAGCTCTATACAAATATTTGGGATCTTGAGTTGTTTGATAAATCTCTAATAGAGCGAAACCACTACCAGCTGAACCGTGACATAGACCACAGCCTTTGTGAAGTAGACCACGAGTCCATACAGCTTCTCCTCCATCTAATGCACACTTCAAATATTTATTTTCACCTGTAATCTATAGAATGTAACAACACAGAGGTTAAATAACACTAAACACACTACCGATGAACTTTAAAAATCATACATATCTATCTAAATAAAAGGAGAATATTTTAAGTGCAGTTTGATTAGTTTCTAACTCCTATTTCGCCACTTCATAGACTCACTGATGTTTAATAATAATAACAATCCTATTACAGATTGGACAAGAAATGTTTGTTCTCATAGCCTTGCTCAGAAAACTCTCGTCTAACAACGTTTCCACAAAACGTTTTGTCACGAGACAGTACATATAGGTTTTTATGCATTATGATTTATTTCGTGTATTAAGAGTACTTTCGAAAAATCCAGCATTTTATGTAAGACGCAATACTACCCGGTTATACGGTTCAAGATTGCCCCCAAATGTCCTGGTACGGCCGACAGTAGGGAGAGTCCGCTCACCCTCTCGAAATGCTCTCACATGGCCACGGGTATATAGCCTCTGCCACACAAGTCCTACTCATTGCATTCTCACACCAGGGGTGTTGTTTACGAAATTCAGAGGACGAAAAGCGAATGTCCGGCGCTTTAACAGGGTTGGTAGACATGGAGAGTCCGTTTAGGGGAGTTGGGAAATGCTGATTCCAAACCAATGGTGCACATGGGCCCCAGTATCCTGAGGGAACAAATGGCGTATGAACCAGTCGTTGGTCACCGGCTACCATGAGAATGCATCTCCTGACATTGATCCACCGCCTTGTGGATCAGACCTTTACGTCGAAGGCTCTGGGTGTGGCCCCCTAAGAAAACCACCTGTTTCTTTCTGGGCACCTGGGCAGTATCACAGCTCTCACAAATATCAAATGAAATTTGTGTGGCGCATATGTATTTGGTAATAATAAATAAATGTTCAAGATAAATGGCCTTCTTAGATAATCACTTAATCATGAGGCGAATAAGAAACGTCAGCACATGCATTCCGATAGCAAATGATGATTAGATTCAGTTTATATACTAGTTATCTTGTTGAAATCATTGAGTTCATGTACACTACATATTGCGAATCCGATTTTCATACTTTTTTGAAAATGATAGTTATATATTTAAAGATTTAAAATTCCTTAATTCATCTTTAAATAAAGTCGTTTGTTTTCATGTATTATTTTTACAGGATGATAATAATACTGATAATAACCTTCTGTTAAGCATGTTGACAGTGAGGTTCAATAAACAAGGTTATTGAAAGAAAATTCTTTTAAAAACAAGGAACGTTTAATAATCGTTTGATTTTTAATGGCATAAGTATTCATCAAAAGATAGATAGGGGAACGTTCAGCTCAACATGATAAGATAAATGTTGAAATTGAGATGAAATGCAATGAGGATGATCGTGGAAACAAAATGAACTAGTTGGGAGTAGAAAATTTAAGGGGAAGATGGAGGATGAAGCAGATGGCTGTAAAGGAAGAAGAGTGTGAAGAAAGAGAAAAATTAAAGATAAAAATAAAAATTAATAAGACATCAGGACCATGGTAGAAGTTGAACAAGTCGTTTTTGCACACAGAATTCTGGTTTTTCCAAATGTATGGCTAATGATTCGGCAATGTAAAGAAGATGCAGTCTAATTGCCTTTGGAAGACTTCTACATTTCTTGTAGATGACTTTGAACGCAGAGTCTGTCTTGATTGAGTGACCTGTGTTCACAAGTTTTTCAATTACTGAGCTTCTTATTTGGCCGCTTCCTCCTCTTTTTAGCCATACCGGACAATGTTCTTGAATTCTTTTGGATAAGGTACGCATCGAACGACCTATATACCTAGCTCCACATGAGCAGGTGAGCACTCGCAACAAGAATGCGACGAATCGGTAGTCACGACGTCATAGAGGATTAATTGGGCCACCTGAAGGAGATACTTATTAAAAACGGATGTCCTTCGATTTTCATAAAACCGAAAACACAGATACCTACAGTAGAGAAGAAAATTTTATACATCAACATCGAATTCAAGGGCGACAGAGAACACACACAATAATGAGGAAAATTTTCGATTCTTTAAAAATAGCATTCCCCGCAGCAACATTGCTAATAGTATTCTCCAGCCGATCATTGTTCACCAATAATCTTAAAGATAAATTATCGCATCTGGCCAACTCAATGTGCACTTTTTTTATTGAGATCATGAACCGATTGGTGCTAGACCACCATTGAAAACCTGGAAGCACTGGACGATTGTTTCGTCCTATTGTGGAACGCCTCAGCAGTACGCATCCATAATCCCGCTCGCGGGATCAGTGGAGCTAATCCGTGTCGGGTAGAAACAGTGTCTGCCTCAGTACAATGGAAGATGGTCGCGCAACTTCGTGAATTGGTTGAGGTTAGGCATTAACACCACTGAATGCCGACTCAGTGGTTCAATAAATTAAGCGTTCGCGAGCGAGACTGAAGGCCCTGGGTTCGAATACCTCGAGCGGGATCATGGATGCGCACTGCTGAGTGGTCCCACAATAAGACGAAACAACCGTCCAGTGCTTCCAGGTTTTCAATAGTCGTCATGGTCACCCGGAGTAGGCCGACGGGCTTCAATGAGTTGTAAGGAGCCTGAAGAAACCCAGTGCTTATAAGCAGGACGTTCCGCGAACCCACAATTGATTTTACTCGCCATTTTCATGGCGTCACGCAATCGCAACCAATGCTCATCTATACTTTTAGGTGGAATGGTAGCTAGCCTAGAACCTAGCTCGGTTCGATACTTACTAGCAACAGAAGTTGCAACCAGCTTGCTAGCATCAATCCTTTGGTGGCGGTCACTTCGTTGACCACTGAAAAGTAAGGCAAGATTGGCGCAGACCAAGGCATGGTCAGAGTCCAGATAGGTACTCCAAAAGGAGCGGCAGTCTTGTACACAACCACGCCAGCGGTAGCTGATCGCGATGTGATCAATCTGAGTCCAGGCTTGTGATGCAGAGGGAGGACGCTAGGTGGCACATCGGCGATGACTGTGTCGAAAGTTAGTGCTAGCCAGAAACAGGTTGTGGTCTGTGCACAGTTGCAGTAGACAGTCCCCGTTATCTGTCCTGCGACCAACAAGTCCCCATCGGCCACCTAAACGATTCTCTTCTGTGCCTAAACGCCCGACCTGAGCATTCCAGTCTCCGGTTAGTACTACAATATCTGTCGAATGCACCTTCTGGAGAAGAACAGTTAACTAGTGGTAGAATTCATCCTTGATTGCATCCGGGCTGCCATCTGTCGGGGCATAGGTGGAGATGACGAAAAGACATCGTTTCTCACGCCGATTTCTTCTCACTTTGATGGAACTTTCTAATCTAACAGCACATAACCGACTGTTAATGAGGATCCAATCGATTAGTGTTGCCTCAGCTCTAGCGCTTAGTGCGACACCGCCATCAAGACCAGACGATGTCACAGGGTCCCCGGATAAACGTACTTAAAACAAGCTTTTTGAAGTGACAGATGGAGAGCAAATTTGTAGTACTTCACTAGAGTCTTCAATACGGGTTTCAGATAGACAACAAACGTCGATATTAAGACATTTCAAACACATAGCCAGCCCTATCTGTTGTCCGACCTGCATAAGTGTGCGAACGTTGAAGGCAGCCAGTTTGAATGATGCACGTGGTTTCAGAAAAACTGCTTCAGTATTCGTATTTGGTGGTAGCATACTATTTTCAACCAGGCAGTGACTCGAGATCGTTTAGATATAACCGAGTTTTCACCATAGGCGAGCTGCTGTATAAGTCGAAAAATAAGGACACACAAAGTGAGAATAAAAGAGAGTGAATAAGTGACATGGTAAATAATAATAATAATAATAATAATAATAATAATAATAATAATAATAATAATAATAATAATAATAATAATGTGAATCGTTTGACAGTTAATCGAAGCAAGACAAGTATTTTCCATAAATATAGACATTTCATCATATTTGTGTGTGGGCTGTGATACTGCTCGGGTGCCCAAACCGAAGCAGTTGGTTTTCTTAGGGGGCCGCACCTCGAGCCTTTGACCTAAAGGTTTGAAGCCGCAAGGCAGTGGAGCATCGTGAAAAGATGCAGTCCTATGGTAGCCGGTGACTAACGATTGGTTCATACGCCGTTTGTTCCCGCAGGATACTGGAACCCATGTGCACCATTATAGGTTACAGTAACTGAATTATGTGAATGAAATGGTTGCCTAAATTTCCTATCTCGAGTGTCAAGCGCTATAAATATGGAGGTACAGATTTTATGCAAACTAATGTATATCTCCTTTTGTATAGAGTACTTTGGGTAAATATTAAGTAAAGTTTGATTCTCAGAACTGTCATTGGTACTAGATAGACAGTATAGGCGGATTAATCAATACTCGGACTAGACTAATACAAATACACACAAGCTTCAACATATCTTGAGCATCTGCTTTTTTCATTATATCATAAGTCTCCTGTGGAAACCCATTAATCTGTTAAGTCAAACAAAATTTGATTCAAGCAAACCTATCCATACAGGCGGCCACGCAACAGGTACTACTAAGAGATGGTTTATGATATATCCCACTTACTTAATTTCATGATACCAATCTAAATTTTACCTAGAATACTTGAACAAGCTCCAAACAAGATGAGTCAATGAGCAAAATCCTCAATGGAATTAAAAGACCCGGACTTATAGGAATTAAGGAAGTTGTATTTGCAATAGTTTTATACGTTTTAAAGTTAGCTAGGGTATAAAGCTAAATAAACTTCCTTAGTGCAATTGGGGTACCAGATTTACTTTATATAAAAGGCACAAGACACATACTGCAAGCCGACTGAAATAATTAGTTTTTTTCAGACATCCAATCATTCACTTGAACTAAGGATCTAATTCGTGAAGTAGTAGGATAACGTCGGTGAATATATTCCCATAGGTATTTGGCTGTGTATAGGTCTATATTAAAGTATAATACGCAGAAGTATAACAGTTTTAAATGCATTCTAATTATGTATAGCATTTATTCTGAATCTCATTTTCAGTGAAGCCGTCGATGTGTACAACTGAGGGGTTCCATACTGGGACGAGACAGCTAACTAATGCTTCTTGGTTTTAAATAGCTGTCCTGTGAAGTGAACTACAAAATGATTGAATCATTTATTAAAATAATATTGCTAACCTACCTTATGAGCTGAGAGCATAAGTGGAATAACACCCGTTGCACCATGACACCAATGAACTAATACATCACGATTTAAGCTATCCCCTAAACTAGAAGGCCAATTTCCGCTGATTATCTGAAGTTGACTCATCCAATCAACAGTAGGTAGAATTAACTGGTTTAAGGAATGTGATGATATGCTACCAGGAAACAAACGATATACCTTTAGAGTAAAACATGATGGAAAATGATTAAACACGACTAATTTATTACAATGATCAAAGTATCAATTTATAACGAGATGGGTCATCATTTCCCATATTAACTCGAAAAAAAATTTAAAAAGGGTTCTTTTTACCCTATTCTCTTTGTAAACGTGGTAGGTTTTAACAATGGTCAACTCGTTGATCAGATACAGATACATGTATTTGGCCTTGAGTCATACTCTAAATGAAGGCTAGTAACGTTAGCTGGTTGCCTAAACTGAAATCTACAAAATCACTAAACAGTTTAATATAAACACAATAGACGACACAATAGAAATGTAGATCAAAAAACACTGAAATTTATATCCTTGTGACTACTTGTATACAAATAGTGAATAACAACCAACTAGACTAAACAATTAGATGACTGAAGTCTTTTACTATTTGAAAGATATTTCAGAATAAGTTCTACTGTTGCTTCAGTTAATAAGTTATACAACCAACTGACAATATATTACGTTTCTAATTGTTTTACTCCCCTTCACGCTAAACGACCAGATCACCTGTTAAATAAGTAAATAACACGTGAATAAAACATATAACTAGTATTGCTTAACGGTGGAAAATTTCCCATTTTCTTAATAAAGAGTATAACGAGCCTGATAGATAGAAATACACACTGATGTAAACACTGTGCAAACTAGAAAAAATATACAGCCCTTCAAGCTGACTTAATTTATATCACTACATTATTGAGTGCTCACTTAGTAATTAAGGTGATCAGTTTTCAACCAGTAGGTTGTAAGTTCAAATTAGCAGTTCATCAACTATTCTTTCAGCTTAGTAGTATTACTAACACTCAAATAAGTGAGGTTAAAAGATGACTTCACTGACTAGTATATGGTGAGTTGTACTGACACTATTGGTTTGAGCTATGTAGAAAGGTGTATAGTTTTTTTTCTAACAACCCATATAAATTCTAAACTATGGTTCCAGATGTAAAGTCAAAAAGGGAAAAACCGATGTTAGTGATGCGGTTGCATTTATTCTTTGTATTCCTACAAATATTAAGTCCGTAACTATTGATAAATTTTCGCTCTTCAAACTGTATTTCTATTTGAATTTTAGCTAGCAGTGGAATTCAGCATTCGCATTCTATCCTATTTGGAACTTATCAACTGAAGTCTGAGATGCAAATACATCCGACTGATGACTTCTGAATAGGATAAAACGAACCCACCGAACAGAATCCAAACACATTTAAACCTTGTAATGAAAAGACATTATCAACGATTCAGAATAGTATGGATGTATTTCAACAGATAATGATCGACTTCAATCTTGAAAATTAAACGACAGATGAACACACATTCATAAAAATGCATTTCACATGTTCAAAGTCTCATCGCAATTATTGTTTGATCCTCCATTTTGCTATAAGCTAACGTCTTAAGCTTGCCTGTCATTTTCTCTCATTCAGACTCAAGATTGATTATAGAAAAGGTATGTATCAGCAGATTAGTAGGAGTTAAGACTGCTTCGACTTCAACTCCTGTCAGACAAAGAGTATTATTAATCAAAGCTTAAGACGCCGGCTTATAAACGAAATAGAATGCGCGGAGTACAGAATTTATAACCAGGATTCTAATTAGCGAAGCTTCGCTAAATATCGATTAAAGTCTCACTTGTGATAAATCAAACCATCGGTAGTGAAAGTACTAAAGAAAGAAAAATGAATAAAGGTGGACGGATGAACTCGAAGTAATGAGAGCCCCAGAATGACTAAATATTCAAGAATTATAAAAGAATCAATCCACCTGATTTATGAAAGAGGTGATTATTTTTAAAATAAAAAATTCATCTTGATACTCGGTAAATCACACATATATGATTTACAGTAAGATAGAGAAGTGTAAGCATTACTGAAACGATTTATAGTTGGGAATACGGGGACAATTTTCTTTTTTTAGGAACAGAAGCAAAATAGATAGAGCAATTGGTATCGAAATTCGAAAGCTGATAAAATGAAATATTAACGGAAATCAGTTGCAAACACGTTACTAAACATAGTAGCTTGGGATTAAGATGATAATAACGGAGTGGTTAAATTTTTTATACATCAATCCCCAAAAAATGAGTTGCCCAAACGTCATTTTTTTCCACAAAATCAGATTCTATGGGTTATTGTTAGCTAATTCACTTTTGGGGCTTATTTTACTCACGTTCATTACCAATCTCCCCATAAGCAGCTGAGTTATTCAAAGATTTGTATTAGAAACCAACCGAAAAATATCATCATGTTCAAATAACTTACCTTCAGTAGAGTAGTCAAGATACCAGCAAAACCATGTGCTCCACCAAGATAACATTTATCATGCCATTCAAACATCAACGGTGGCATGCACAAATCTCTTTTCGATGACTGATACATCAATCGATTATAAAAACCATTCGATTTGTAAGCACCAGCTGTTTTCTGACCAGACTTCAATATAGCATCTGTTATCTAAAGTAAAACTGTTATCATTAATGTTACTACTTTCATATCACGGAAAAACACATAAATCCACAAATCAGATAGTGAAATGCCGCAACTTCCTTATATATTGGGACAATCAGTGATTGTGACCAGTCAGATGGAATAACGTCTAATTCCCAGATGTTAGCTAAAATATTAGTCAACATAATCGATAAAATTGGACCACCATCCTTGAAGACCTCTAAAATCAATCCATCTGGACCAACTGCCCTTCCTCGTTTCAGATTAACTATAGTCTTTTGAACTTCAGCTAGAGTTGGGGTACCTGTCTTGTGTTCCCTATAGCCGCCGCCTTTTCCATCTCTTTTGCTTTCGCTGCCCACCACTGCTCACGGTCGTTCCTTAGACTTTTGCTTAACCTAGATCTGATTTGTTGTCGCTCTTCATCGTCTTCAGAGCCTGATGGGATGAGTTTACGAGAATCCACCAGTGCAATAGACCTTGAAGAAATCCATTGATTCTTTGTAACTCTGTGGTTTAAATCACTGATAGATGTCACTGCTGTTTCCACAGCTGCTTGTATATCTTTCCAAGCAACATCTGGGTCAGCCTCGTTTTCAGAACTACCTAAGTGTGACCTCAGCTGTTCCTGGAACCTACTTTTGGTTTTCTCGCTACTCAATTCAGTTCTAATAGGTCTTTTTAATTTGTTTTTTTTGCGTCTAATGAGTCTTAAGCAGATGAGTGACCGTGTTACGGCATAGTTGGAGTCCAAGCAAGTACTCCAGAATGAGCAACAACCTTCTATCGACGCTCTCCAACGATGACTGATGACAATATGGTCTATTTGAGTCCATTGTTGGTTTGGTGTAGGGGGTCGCCATGTTAGACGATGTATCTCCTTATGCTTAAAATTTGTGTTTGCTAAAAATAAACGATTGTCTGAGCACAGTTGCAGCAGACGATCACCATTATCTGTTCGCTGAGCTGGAATACTGAAGTACCCACCCAAATGCCTTTCTGTTTGGTTTAAGCTACCTATCTGGACATTAAAGTCACCTGCTACGAGTACTATGTCTGAACGTTTAGCTTTCTGAAGAAGTTCAGATAGCTTTTCGTAAAATTCATCTTTCACTTCATCCGAGCTGCAGTCAGTGGGAGTGTGAGCAGAAACGGTAAAAAGGCAGAGCCGTTTAGCCGAACAGCACATAAACGACTGTTAACGGGGATCCACTCTAATAGTGCTTGTTCCGCCCTCATGCTTAGTGCTATACACACACCTGCCAGTCCACGAGAACCGTCGGGTCACCAGATACACGGAGGGTGTATCTCGTTGGCTCTCCGTTTTGTCGAAGTGAGATCAAGTGAATGACCACACTAGGATCCTGTATGCGTGTTTCAGAGACACGGCATACATCAATGGTACGAGATTCTAGGGTTTTAGCCAAGGAAGACTGTTGACCGATTTGACGTAGGGTGCGTACGTTGAAGGCTCCAATGTGTAGTTTGGAGCGAGGTTTCAGTAGACCTGGGACAGTGTTTTGAGCACCAGAATCGTTGGCTATGGTGACACTTGAGGGGGAAGCCGAAAGAGGAAGTTTAGCGTTGAAAGTCGATGTAGGAGGAATAATAGGAATTGAAGACGGAGGTTGATTATGAATACAGTGGTCTTGAGTGTCGTTAGAGGTATGAGGGCGGTTATCATTTCCCGGTTGCCCACACAGTGGAAGGGTAAAACGTTACAGTATGAGTCACTTGAATATTTTTATGGAACGTAAAACGGATGATTGTACTTTAACGATTAGTATTGGTCATGAGAATCGAATTTATACCATGCATTGCAATAACTCGCCTGTGGTGTTGTGGTCACAAACACATTATTGTAAGGCTTATTCAACTGAACCAGTTTCATAAACCGACAAATTATCTAGAACAACACTGGAGCAATAAACCTTTCCATTCACTTCTCTAGTAATTCACCTCTGCACAATCAAGCACAATCAATTCATTAATAAACACTTCAAAAGCAGTAACAAATACACAAACACATACCGACGAGACAACAGAAACAGGGATGTCGAAATTATTTTCTCGAAGTGTTATCAAACAATTTAGATAGCCAGTACGTCCGTATAACGCTTCATCAGGCATCCCACAGTCCACATCCAAGCCATATTTACTCGCTGACAAAATGTTTTCTACGAACTTCTTTGCCTCTGTATTCTCACTTCCATGCTTGACTGATGATAAAGCACCTAAACACAGTGGACCGATCGGGCTAGTGTAAACACTGATATTTTTAGATAACTTCTTCAAGTCGATATGACGTAGACATCGATTTAACAACTTCTCAGTACATACAACACCATTTTCACGTATCTTTCTGTCTAATAATTCACATTTGCATTGTGATAAGAAATAGTAGAATAGTCCAACACCTACAAACAAATAGAAAGAAACACAAGTTGATCGAGTGGTTTGCATACTATTCACAAATTCTAAAGTACACGACTACATTTCTTACACCTCAATGTATAGACAACGTCTGTTCATGGGTTTGAATGGTCCCGAATAAATTGCTAACGATATCAAAACAATGGGATACGACCAGTCTAGAACACAATACTAACAACATTCAATGAAAGGTTTTACAAATGAACATCGTTAGTTCAACTACACTGACAACGATCAGTGACGGATTTCACTGGTCGACTCAGTGGTTCATACATTATATTTCTTTCACACTAAATTTAGTACATCAGTAGCAGTACAGAATATGAACAGGTGGATTTCTCCGAGAATCTGATTATGACTTGTTACTTCAAATTGAAGGGCATATCCTGATACATTTATTCAAATGACATGACTAGATATGTGGTATATGAATCAACACTTGATCGAATTAGCCAGTCAGTCACTTGACTTTCAATGATCAATAAGTCGGAATAGATGTGGTGGAAGCACGTATATACTGATGTGACATGATGGGCTACACCTAATGTCTTACAATATTTATGACCTCAATCACTCTAACGAAATCTTTACCACATTATGTTACATATATTCATCCTTCATCGCCCTCTATTGTATAAGTATGTCAATATCTATAATAACGTTGAATTTCAAATATTTTAGGTTGTAAGCAGCTGATGAGAACCTAACGAAATAAAATGAATTCATATTATTCTGCACCAACCTTTGTTCTTACTCTCTTTAAAAAATACAATACCTGTATGCGTAAAGAAAGGAAAACATAAAATTCATTAGACACACATAAAAGTCTTCACATTTCTGGTTAGTCATTTAATTCAATCTGAAACCATGACTTAGTTCAAATACATTAAGACACTGCAATGGGCCACTTAACTAAGTTCAGACTGTCTGGTTCAGTCCGCGTGATTGTCTTGACCGACTGTTAGAGACTTTGGGTGACGTGGCTCAAAATCGTTCGCAATGTCACAGGTGCATTCCTTTAAATATGAAATCTCTAAACTGTTTTACATATTTTCATTCTACAAATTCATATCTTCTCGAATTGTACTTTCCACACCTAGTCTCTCCCATTACCACTAATACTGTTACTATATCTACCTTTCTGAGACATGCCCTGACAGTCTCGTTTCGCTGTTCTGCTGGTATGTTTCAGCTTGAACCGATTCATAAATATGTCAGGTTCGACGTTGCATATGACTGATTCACTGACTGAGGATGACTAAAACACACAACACTCACCTGACAAGCCAGTGTACATTGATACGTCAGACGACGATAACTTCTCAAAATTCGAATTCAGAACATTTAACAGTTCGACAATTTTGTTTGGGATGTTTGTATCTCCCACCTGGAACGTGGTGCACAAGTAAATACTGAAAGTACTTTAAGCTGGTCTCCAGGCATATAATCCTGGTAAGGATTTTTAAAATGGCGACCATCGTTAACCTCAACCATCTTCTATACGCGTTTGGATTTTACTCACGAATGGATCCTTGAAAGGATAGAGTTAAGTTGAATTTGTCGAGATTAGACTAGAATCTTCTGTGGTCGACACCAAAATCTTAAGACAAAATTGATAGATTAGTCAATGGGACAGTAAAAGCATAAAAATGCATAGTAATACAAAGCGAGGTAATTTGAAGAAGTGGTCGGTAAACAATGAAATCTTTATCACAAGTGTAATAAGTCAAACTAAAGAAATTATGTTGTCGGAAACTAAAACGTGTTTCAGAGAGGAACAAATGAAAAGAATGACATAATACAAATCCATGACATACAAAGGAGAAATAAAGGTGAACAAAGAGGAAATGAAGGGGTAAATGCTTTGCAAGAGAAAGGGGAAAACAAGCCAGAATGTCGCCTTTTTCGACTGTTTTCAATCCTGGATGGTAGTAAACATAATTTCTGAAATGAAAGGAATGATTGACGTGGGTATTTTTACTGTCAAGTTTGATAAATGCATAGCTATTAGGTTGGCGGCTGTTATATGTGACGCACTTGCCCGTTCTTCTGTTAGATGCACGGTAAATCATAACGGTAAGGCAGGTTGCGATAAGTGTGCTGTACTTGGGAGACGACCTTTCCAAATGGGGTGTATATTTTAAGAACAGACGACACCTTCCGTCGTCAGACTCAATCTATCCACCATCAAGGACATTCTATTATGGAAACGCTTTCGATTAATATGATTTTAACTTTAACTTTAGATCCTATGCACATGGTGTACCTAAGTGTCACAAAAAAGCTGGCGAATTTATGGATAGATTTAGCACACAGGAGACTGCTGAACTTGAACTCATGTGCAATTAGGGACATTAATAATTCAATATCAGGTTGCGTGGAAAGTACTCCTTCTGACTTTCCGCGTAAATGCCGTACACTAGACTTCGTATAGGCATGGAAAGCTTCTGAATGTAGGTTGTTCCTTCTGTATTTAAGCCCGGTGATTCTTCAAAAAACATTGCTGCAACCTTTGTATCTTAATTTCCGGTGTTTAGCGTTATCCATTTATCTGCTTGCACATCCGAAATTACATAATACTGTTGTAGAAACCGCCAGAACAGATTTACAAAACTCCCTTAAAGAATACGAATGGTGTTATGGGTCTGAAAACTTAGTTTACAATGCGCATTCGTTACAGCACCTCCCTGACGACGTTCGTGCACATGGACCTTTAGATAGTTTTTCAGCCTTTCCATTCGAATCTTATATGAGACAAATCAAGAATTCTGTGCACAGTGGGTTTGCTGTAGCTAAGCAAACAGCTCAGCGTTATACTGAAAAATGTCCTTCTACGATAAGCCTCAATTTAGCTGTTCAACAAATACTACCCCAATAGGCGCTGATGATGTCTCCAATAAACAAGTAATTATGTTTAAGAACAGTAAAATAACTTCATTTAAGCCTGATAATGTAGTAGTAGTAAACGGGCAGCCTGGTTTAGTCACTGATATAAAGGAGGATGGACTACTGAAATTTAGGTTTTTCACTGACCCACGCAATTACTTTGAAGATCCTTTCCCATCTAGTGATATAGGAATCTTTATGTGCTCCATAGTTAGCCATAAACACACATGAGTATCGGTTAAGGATATTGATTGTAAATGTATAGCCATGAATTGTATCAGTTATCTAGTTCTAATCCCATTGTTGCATACTTTAGTGTAAATGTATTTTGTTTCATTAGTGTTGAATTAATGATGATAAACCATTTAATGACGTCTTATGTTATTTTTAGCCTACTAACAAGAAATACGTCATTGTTCACGCCCCGATCAATAAAGAACTTATGATAGCATCCAAGGAGTGGATAGTAGACAAGTAACTTTGCCTTTTTCCAACGGATCTGGTCGATACGCACCTGCAAAACTACGATCAACCAGATAACAACTGGTCAGTTTTGAAATGTAAAGTCATTCACGAATTCGGTAAGTAACAAACATAGAAACTATAATTCACTATAGATTCTTTGCAGTCTGCGAAAGATCTTTTAATTTCCCTGCAAATACTGGAATCTCATCGTAGAAACACTTCTACGGATGAAAACACATTACCACAAAACACAGAAAAGCCCAAGAGGTCTGTGCAACAATCTTACTAACATTTCCTAGAGGTGCAATGAAGCGGAAAGAAGCGTTTCTTTACAATTCAGTGGACATGGACGTGGCTGAGATGCAGGCTAGCAATCGCCACGTACAATATCCAAAACTTCGGTTGTTTGACAAATTCGTCTTGCCAATTGCCAAGCAAGTTTCATTATTATTTAGATGTTCACGAAATAGTTCGATGCAATTAGAGACGTCACCGTCAACATCGGAATCTAAGCATGTCAGTGGTGTTATAGCGGACCTGTAAGTCACCTGCATCATCAAGTGAACTTTTTCAGGTTCGATAGGTTGTATACAGTGGTGCAGAACATGTCGTCAGCTATCACTGACTTGAATAAAACGATGCACAACATTTCCTCGGCCATTACTGACTGGAATATTAATGTAAAGCAATTACTATCTAAGTCTAATGAACGCGGAAAACCACATCAATTCCATTGCGGAATTTCGAGTCAGCAGCTCCCTTTGTCATCTGAAGAGGAACTGCAGATGCTGGACACTGGTTTGCAGCAGAAAGAATACAGGGGCCGATTTGTAAGCCATCAACATTAATTTAATGATTTGTTACTATTACAGATGGCAATGGTTACGAGGTTACCAAGTGACGATCCGAAAACATCAATGCGGTATGTTCTGTCGCACCTCTTAACACCTGAGGTTGTCAGTAAATTCACGTTACTTGGCACCTCTTTAAAACGCGCACTTCAGAAATGCCGGTTTTACGGCTGCATACGAAGTAACTCATATTTAGTATTTAAACTTCAGGTGCGTTAACAAATCGCTTTCTGTCATCCGCTGTCAACGAAAAAGACTTTGCTAAGCTGTAGGACATCGCGACACAAGGTTATTTCCACGATGTCAGAGACAAAGTGAAAAAGCGTAATAGAAGAAAACAAGATCAGGTATGTACTAATTTCAAGTGATAACTTCCCTATGGCTCTATAGTTACAGTCTACAGCATTAACGAACATAACCGTAAGTTCAGCTTCAATCATTTGGCTGTGCCAAAACATGTCATTCAGATGTCGTTGTGACATTTTTTTAACTTCAGAATTCACAGGACGACTACCTCAATTCTCAATAGCCAAACGAACGTGGCTGAAGGGAATGGTCCGTGCAATTTTCTTTATGTTCTACCTCTTTTTTAATAAACATTATTTTATAAAACATCTTACTTCATTACTTACATGGGAAACTATAGAAGTGTTGAGAATGCGTTTGATTGTCAGTGAACTTTTGATCAAATGCACATGCCTTATCAATAATACACCACCTATTTCTTCCTTTGCAGATCTTTTCAAATAACAATGAACTGGCAATTGCAATGGAAATGCGAAACAATCGATGCTCAAGCTTCTGCTATAATGTTGTACAAAAATACGCTCTTCCTTGCCAATAAAATTATTTTAAAATATACCGGTTTTCCCGTGGATTGCAGTTTTAGTGTGGTTTGTTGTTGGAAATAAAGGTGAACATAGGAGACCTTTGGGGTTATGTCAATGTGTATTTAGGCGAAAATTAGACAATTCGGGGATATTTAGGCGAAAATTAGACAATTCAGAGGATATTTAGGCGAAAACTCGACAATTCGACGGATATTTAGGCGAAAAGTTGGCAATTTGTCGACAAAGCGGCAAAAAAGGTGGAAATCAGCAGTGTTTCCCCCGGACAGGCGAAAAAGGCGACATTCTGATGCGTTTTCCCCTTTATTTCCCATTTGTTCACCTTTATTTCCACTTTTTTGGTTGTTTGGGAAAGGGAAAGATATTAATGTCTATACCTACCACTCCCTTACAATCATTTCAGAAATGTGTAAGTACAATTGTACTTACAACTATTAATAGTTGGTCATCACTGTACGATGGCTCACACTTTTCTAGATACTTAACTGGTACCAAGCCTACGTAGGCCTCAAGTATGGAGACGACATCGAGCAATCCCAAAAATGGCCGCGAAACCTTAGTCACCTACCCGGCTCAAAATAGGATTACGAGTTAATGTTGGTTATTTAAATTAAGCCGCTGTTAGGAGTCAAGATAAGAAATTACGCGGTAAAGCTGTACGAACTACCTTGAGATCATACCCAAAATGACCAATCAGGAGACAGAGAAGATAAATGGGTTATTTAATACGCTAATCCGTCAGACTTCCACTTAAAGGACTCTTGGGGGCTTTCGTTCACCACCCGATATCATTCCAGTGGGCTAATTTATGTTGACTGATCTCTTTCCATTCCCCTCATGGTGTTCAGTCAGTCTTCAGTAATAAGGATAGTAGGTTGGTGAACCTGTATTAATCCTGACACAATTCCTCGTCAAAAGATTTGAACGCTCGGCGAAGTTACCATAAAGCACGAAAACCTTTGACAGCGGCTGCTTTGCGATGCGTAGTTGTTTTTAAATAATGACTTATTACTACTCCTAAGTCTTTATGTTCTTGAGCACATGGAAAAGGTTCACCCTCAATAGTATAACGGTAACTATTACCGTGACCGATGTGCATTAGCACACTCTTCCTAGCATTGATTTCTAAGCCCCACTCTCGAGTCCATCTAATTAAATTGTGTAAGTCATCTTGAAGATCCAGATGATCAGCCGCACTTTTTATTGTTCTCTAGATTTTTACATCATCCGCAAACAATAACCTAAGTAACAGCGGTAACTCATTAACGTAGAGAAGGAAGAGCAGAGGGCCTAAGATGGTGCCTTGGGGTACACCACTTTTGACCGGCTTCCAATCGGATGGCGTTCCGTTGACCCTCACCCTCGGTCTGCGGTCACATAAGAAGTTTCCTATCCACTCATGTACAGTACCTATTATTCCGAGGCTCGTGAGCTTCTGCATAAGACCTACGTGTGAAACCTTGTTCCAAGTCTTCCTAATACCCAGAATATTATATATTTGTGACAAGCATGTACAGACCAAACGAGCTTTTTCCATTTCCTTCTTGTTGTCTTGGCATGATTCCAGGTATTCGGTAACGTTCAATGGGTGGTAGTCTAGCCACTCAGCTGCACTGATTTTAGTCATTTTGATAGTTATTTGTGGGTTTGTATACCTTGTAGTCTGAATGCGTGTGTTTGTCTTCAAGCAATATGGTCTTTGAATGCCAGCAAGTATCACCTGAACAAGCAGGAGGATGGTTGTTTACAATGCGAATAGCAATAAAGTGGAAATTCGAATGCTAAGAAAAGACGAACGTCTCAAGAACAAAACATGCAAATTAATTAATTAATTGGCGATTCAGACAGAGTTAAGAGGCAGATTTGTAAGAATAAAAGAGGAAACGAAAATAATAAGCATAGGTTAATGTTTAATGATGATAATTGTAGATAATTTACTAGACATGCATCAGGCACAGCTAGTTTAAGGTGGAGACAGTAATCAGTGGGTGAGCGCGTGTGTTTCAACTTTCATCTCCACAGAAAGGGTTGTTGTCGACTCGGCTTAGAGAGGATTCCAAAATGAAGTAACTCTGAATGACAAAGAGTGGGGGCGTACTTTGTCGTCGGTTCTTTGACGTAATTTTCCAGGGGTTACCTCGAAGCGTGTGATGGTGGTGATCCGGTAGGATGCTCGTTTTAGGTCGTAGTAGTTAATATGTTGTACTGCATCATCAAGTAACCTCCTATCCTCCTGTATCACCTCGAGAATAGGTCCAAGTGTGTTTTTATAAAATTTATCACTAGCCCAGTCACACACTTGGTTCCCGTCTGTGTACTTTTTCTAGGAGTTTTACGTTTATTTTGTATTGGTGTACACGAAAACGGTGTGGACTTCAAAAGGAGGTCGTGATTAGGTATCAATTGGTGTCAGGAACAATTCGGAGGTGGTCGTTTTAATTTGCCTCTGCATCAAATAAAGAGCTGAGTTCGCCTTCGTTCCAACTGTCATGCAGTTTGAGCCGGTGTCTAAGATCTCTTCTTACTAGTCCGGGTTGTGATCTGAGTAGAAAATATCGAGCAAAGTTTCATGAAGGATATAAGTTCTTTGTATAAAATGGAGCCAAAATTTTCTTGACACAACACTCCGGCATACGTTCTATTAACCCATTTTGTACACCACATTCCTATATTGTCGCCAGATAATTTTGAATCTCAAATGAATTCTTTTCGATCTCTGTGAGCCTTCAGATCCTCGCACAGCCCGCATAAATTAACGTTGCTAAGTTTGTTCTGCCTAGAAGGTCATTAATAAATGTCAGGCAAATAATTGGATCTAAGAATTTTACTTGCGAAACTACAGAAGTCTAGACCATTCGAGCCGAGTGGACTTTATTTATCTTGGTACGAATCATCTTATCGCTAAGGTAGTTAATAAGATAAAAGTGGGTCAGTGAAATCCATCTTCGCCATGAAGAGTACGTGCGGCGCCGCGTCAAACCTTTCTGAGAAGTCAGGGAATAGAGAGAGTAGTTAAACAAGTGGACTGACGAGAGAGAGGGTTGGATTATCCAAGTTACTAGCAGAGACATGGGTCTTTCAGTTGGTTCCTCTTTCTTTCGTTTTAGTCGACAGCTGAGATAAAGGGGTTCAGATGGTCGAAAACGTGACATGAAAGCCAGCCTTCTGTGGAGAATCACTCGTTCTGGTGTCTTTAGCTGCCTAAATGTTTTGTCTACCAGTATTATATCTACTGGTCAAGTCTACACTCGAAAAGAAGTATGTCCGCTACTTTGTTGTCCTTGTAAATCATGATTGTTGTTTCACTTGGTAACTCCGCCTGGGGTCCTTCCGGGGGCTACTGCCGGTCCCAAGCCCGGATAAAGGAGGAGGGTTGGGCATGGGGTTAGCGTCCCCATCCTGTAGAAAACTAACTCGCTAAAAAAACGCTAACCAGAAAAAATTATTCAAACCTTTTAAACTCTGCCCTGGGAGTCAGAAGGTCTTCATTTAGAAGAATTATGACGCCTCATGATGAAAGCCAAATTCCTTCGGAAGTTACGAGGCCGATGCCCCTTCTGACAACCAGAGCGACCATTTATTTAGGTACATGGAATGTTCGTACAATGTGGGACACCGGGAGAATCTTCCAAATTGCTGCAGAAATGAGAAGATACAACCTAGAGGTAGTTGGGATCTGTGAAACACATTGGACACAAGTTGGACAACAACGACTAACTACAGGAGAGCTCCTGTTATACTCCGGCCATGAAGAAGAAAATGCACCACATACACAAGGAGTTGCATTGTTGTTGTCCAAACAAGCGCAAAATGCACTTATAGGATGGGAATCTCATGGACCGTGGATCATCAAAACCTCCTTCAAAACAAAGAAAGAGGGCATTTCAATGAACATCATCCAATGCTATGCGCCTACCAACGACTACAATGAAGACGCTAAAGATCAATTCTACAATAGGCTGCAGTCAATCGTAGAGAAGTGACCAACAAAGGACCTGACCATTCTGATGGGAGATTTCAACGCCAAGGTTGGAACGGACAACACTGGATATGAAGACATCATGGGACGACACGGACTGGGAGAAAGAAACGAAAATGGTGAGAGATTTGCAAATCTATTTGCCTTCAATAAGCTGGTCATAGGCGGCACCATATTCCCACATAAACGCATACATAAAACCACATGGACTTCACCGGATCACTCTACACAAAACCAAATCGACCATATTTGCATCAACAAAACGTTCAGGAGGACTATAGAGGACGTGAGAACCAAGAGAGGAGCTGATATAGCATCAGATCATCACTTACTGGTCGCCAAGATGAAATTGAAACTCAAGAAACACTGGACAACGGGGCGGACAACATCACAAAAGTTCAATACGGCCTTTCTCCAGGATACTAACAAACTCAACAAATTCAAGATAGTCCTCAGCAGCAAGTTCCAGGCCTTTCATGATCTACTCATTGGAGAAGGAACTACTGTGGAGAGCAACTGGAAGGGGATCAAAGAGGCAATCATTTCAACATGTCATGAGGTCCTGGGTCACAAGAAGCACCACCACAAGGAATGGATCACTGTTGATACACTGGATAAGATTCAAGAAAGAAGAAACAAGAAGGCAGCGATCAATACCAGCCGAACAAGAGCAGAAAAAGCTAAGGCACAAGCTGAATACACGGAAATAAACAAACAAGTGAAGAGGAGCATCAGAACCGACAAACGTAAATATGTGGAAGATTTAGCAACGACGGCGGAAAAGGCTGCAAGAGAAGGAAACATGAGACAATTGTATGACATAACAAAGAAACTCTGTGGAAATCGCCGCAAACCAGAACGACCAGTGAAAAACAAGGAAGGTAAGGTAATCACCCACATTGAAGAGCAACAAAACAGGTGGGTAGAACACTTCAAAGAACTGTTGAATCGACTAGCTCCACTGAACCCACCCAACATCGAAGAAGCACCCACGGACCTCCCAATCAATGTTGGCCCACCAACAATTGAAGAAATCAGCATGGCCATCAGACAAATCAAGAGTGGCAAAGCAGCAGGACCGGACAACATCCCAGCAGAGGCACTAAAAGCAGACGTAGCGGCAACTGCAAGGATACTCCACATTCTCTTCAATAAGATTTGGGATGAGGAACAAGTACCAACAGACTGGAAAGAAGGACTTCTGATCAAAATATCGAAGAAAGGCGATCTCAGCAAGTGTGATAACTACAGGGGTATCACTCTTCTCTCAATACCGGGAAAAGTCTTCAACAGGGTATTGTTAAACAGGATGAAGGACTGCGTAGGCGCCCAACTTCGTGACCAACAGGCAGGATTCCGTAAGGATAGATCGTGTACAGACCAAATCGCAACTCTGCGGATCATTGTGGAACAATCAATTGAATGGAATTCATCACTCTACATCAACTTCATTGACTACGAAAAGGCATTTGATAGCGTGGACAGAACAACATTATGGAAACTTCTTCGAAGATAGTCAATATCATACAGAGTTCATATGATGGATTACACTGCAAAATCGTGCATGGAGGACAGTTGACAAAGTCGTTCGAAGTGAAGACCGGTGTTAGGCAAGGTTGCTTACTCTCACCCTTTCTCTTTCTCCTGGTGATCGACTGGATCATGAAGACGTCAACGTC